GACTAAATATTGATTAAATCACAATTGTAGGAATGTGGATGTTACAACCTAGGGCTTGTTAATATATACACAGTAAAAGGAAGCCGTTGTTCCATTTGTGTGGCAGGAGATGAATAGTGTTAGCACTAGCACAGAGAATCAACTAGCTACAAGGTAACAGGTGAGAATAAATGTGGGATAAGGATCATGAAAGAACCTTCAGTTATAGGGGAGGATGTTAATTATGAATGATACCACAAATGCCTTTTTTCCGTTTTGGAGAGGGCATTAATTGTGGGCCATCACAACAAATACCTTGGGAGCATGAATAGAATAAAGGTGACCAGGGTCAAGATGTGTGTGTATGGCTGTGGTGTTAGAAAGCTGGGAGGTAAAGAACAGTTCTCCTGCAATTTATACACATCAGCTTCCCCAGGGACGTGCATGTAACCCTACTTGATTGTTAGTTCAGAATCAGTAGAGCTAGTGTATCTTAAGAAAGGTCTCTAGTTCTCCTTTTGCTGGGGCTGTCTCCAGAGCTCCTTGCACTGTGCCATGGTGATACTGAAAGATCCTTTCTCACACAAGTACATCATACTTCTTTTGAGAGGACACAATTGTCCCAGAAAAGTGCTTTCTGTCCTGATGTGTTCCAGGATGCTCAAGAGAGGAATGTCTAAGGAGATAACTAGTTATTCCCAAGGAGCTGGTGGGAAATCTAGCTGAACTTGTGTGTAGTATAAATCCAGGTGCCTTTAAATATGACTTTTGTCTAATTCTCTGTTTAAAGCAACTATATCTTGCTTGTTCTTATGAATGTGATGGTCTGTATTTGTTCCAAGTTTAATGGATAATGAGGTAGCCAGAAGGGATGTGTTATCACCTGAGCCAGCAACAGGGAATATTCTATACACAAACATCCCAACATGTATAAGATGTATTATCAAATCTTTAAATAGTATCTAGTGTAGGTAGGAGGATTTGGCAGTGGTTGGGTGCCATCTAGCTGCTGTTTTGCAGAGTACATCTGCCTAGCATGAATATACTCCTGGAAATGTGGGACTGGGTATTAAGAGTCCATTCCAAACTGCAGTGGTCATCTTGAGCACCCAGAGGTCAGGGCAGAGGAAAGGACTGGTGCTCTGGGTGTCTCACGTGTGAATTGCCATCTCCTCAGCAATAAGAAAGGGAAAACTGAAGATCATAACAGGTACTTCCCAGTTGGAAAAGAGAGGTGCTGCCAGTTGCATTGGTTTTCCAGATTTAAAAGGCTAGCCCCAGAAAGGCATGCTGAGAAAAAAGCTCATCATATAAGAGGGCAACACTATCCTGGGAGAGTTAGTCAGGCAGAGGAAGTTTTGGATACTGAGCACAATCCAGTATTCCCTCTCTCCTGGATGCTGTTAGCTTCTCCATTTAGAAGAGGGTCTGTGGAGTACTTCCCTGCCCATGGTAAACATGATTAGCAGAGAATCTTTTCGCCTTCAGTCTGCGTCCTTTGCTGCTGAGTACAAGCTCCTCAAACCAGGGAGGAACTGAATGGGAATCTCCACGCATTCTTCCCCCTCCCCCTTCAAATGGACTGTCCATTTCCACGTGGTATATATGTGTACGGAGCCGGTGCTAACGGAATGAGGCAGACATTTCTATAGTGTTGGCTAAGGAGTTAGTGGGTGGGAGATCAGTGTGAGACTGACCTCCCTCTTGTTAGTATACACTAGGCTTGAAAGGGAGTGGGGAGTTAAGCTTATACTGTAAGTAAAAGGGCCAAAAATGCAAACAGAAACTAACTCCATAAAGTATTTGTCCTCTTGGGACCAGGCTGAAATATTCTCAAGGTGACTGCTTCAGGCCCATGTGCTGTGCAAGAGAGGAGAGGAAACTTCCTGCACAACTGTTCCATGGGTGACTGAAGATTTTGTATTGCAGCTGGTGTGATAGGGTCACGTAGTGTTACATGACCAGGTATCGCTGTCCCTGTTCTCTCCCTTAGTTATGAACTGTCTTCCTTTGTGTATTTCCTTATGGTTTTAAGTGCTTCTCATCAGAGAGGAGAAGAGCTGGAAGTCTCTTCCCATTGCAGCTTCTCTGGGCTGGGATTTTCATTCTGCTTCTCTAGTCAAGGTCCAGGAATAATGGGAAAAACATTTGAAAACAGGATATGTTAGTGGAAACAGATCAGGAAGGCGATGAATAATATTTTGTGATAAGTGGTGGAGCAGCAAGATGAATTTGGCCAAGTAGTGTGGTAACTCCACTTCCAGGTTCTGTACTTCATTAAATCCAATGTTTGTCTTCTGAACCACTGTCTTGTCACATCAAGCTTTGGGCTTTGTGATGCCCTCCTAATGCAGGGCTCTTCACATAGTAGCCCACATCTGCCCTGCCACACACACAGATGACTGCTGTCTAATAATGTACGACTCGAGTACCAGATGTAATTCTTGGAGTCATAAAACATTGCCCTCTCCCTGTGGCTTAATGGTGAGGACAAAGCTAATGGGTAGCTGGCGATGTCTAACGAGCAATTCCTCTTCATCTGTCAAGGAAGATACAAGCACTAACAAATATCATGGTCATCTATATTGACTTATGATTTTTGTTTTTTTGTTAATGAGGTACCTTTATAGGCATATTAGATGTGGGCTTTGGGCTGGTGGCAAGTTGCAAATGCATCTTGGTGCCCCAAAGCTTTGGAACTCCTATCAGAGCATTTGTAACAGGACATGGGTAGCGTTACACCTTCACATGACCAGTTTGTCTGAGGGGAAATATAACCCAGCATCCATACTTGCTTCATTCTGTGAATCAGATATTTGAACAAGCCCAGCATTTCCTTGTACTTGGGACTGGCTCTCTGCTTCATGATACCCTTTACCCTGGGAGCCCTCCAAGTCTTGGTTCATATTGTCTCCATATCATCCATGTCTGTCCCTTTAGATCCAAGAATGATCCTTGGGTGCTGCAGGTTCCCCTTAGTTTACAAAGGACAGTAGCAGTTCAGTGGAGATTTAACAGAAATATATTTTTTCCTTTTTAAAGATATTTTTCACAGAGAATGCAAGAAGCATCAATGAAGTTGCTTGTGATATTTCCCTCCTCTGCTGTCCTTCTACCTTGGATCCTCATTCCACTGTGTCTTGTCATGTCTCTCCTTGTCCAGAGTAAACTAGGCAACTTATTTGTATAAAATGTTATTTTGTCCCAAGCAATAGTAATAAACCAGGATTTTCACAAGAATGGGACTGAGTACTGTTTCTTGGCTCACTCACATTATACCAGCTCTCAGCACAAGGCAGACCCCAGTGTTCAGACTCACATTAGACAAGTGGGTCTCAAACTTTTGTATTGGCAACCCCTTTCACACAGCAAGCCTCTGAGTGCGACCCCCCCCTTATAAATTAAAAATGGGGGTATTAAATTTAACAGGGGCTCAGGCTGTCAGCCCCATGCCTGGTGGGGCTGATAGCTTGCAACCCCCAGGTAATAATCTCGTGACCCCCTTCGGGGTTGCGATCCCTCCATTAGACTCTTAAAACACAGTACCTCACTTCTAGCTTTGGACCCACTCTGGGCAACAGTGGAAACATATGTATTTCACCTTGAATCTGTAGTGCAGATTTATAACTGGTAAGAAAGCTGAGACTATGGCTTCTACCATCCAATGCACACTGAAGCTGCTCGCCTCCAAATGGAGCATTGCATGATGGGAAGGGTAGTCGTGGTTAAGCCTTACTTCTGTTTATTATTACTCTAGTGCAGGGGTCAGCAACCTTTCAGAAGTGGTGTGCCGAGTCTTCATTTATTCAGTCTAATGTAAGGTTTTGCGTGCCAGTAATACATTTGAACGTTTTTAGAAGGTCTCTTTCTATAAGTCTATCATATAGAACTAAACTATTGTTGTATGTAAAGTAAATAAGGTTTTTTAAATGTTTAAGAAGCTTCATTTAAAATTAAATTAAAATGCAGAGCCCCCCGGACCGGTGGCCAGAACCCGGGCAGTGTGAGTGCCACTGAAAATCAGCTCGAGTGCCAAAGGTTGCCTACCCCTGCTCTAGTGCCTAGAAACCCCGCTCGGGATTGGAACACTATTTTGGTAGGAAGGTAATGTAGATATTGTCCTAGCCTGGAAGCCTTTTGAATGCAGATTAAGAACTCAGATTATATAGTGTGAGGCTTCTAGGCTACAGTCTGCTAAGGGGTGGGGTGGGATGACAGCTGGAAAGAGGAGCTACTAGCTTCCCTCCATACGGCGCCAGGGAGGGAAAACAGGTGGGTTATGACCAAGTTTTTATCTGCATGACTAGAACTTTGCAGCTAGCCTCCCTCAGGAAAGCTTGTGGCTCACATAAGGCCTTTTAAACCGTTAGCTACAGGTTTGTTTCACTCTCGCTTGGCCAGAGTTACAAGGCATGGCTGGTCAATGAGGTGCAACCGCCTGCGTAAAATAAAGCAAGTGGCTTAGCGGCTCCCCCCAGCGCAGAGCAGCGAGCGCAGACGCCGCAGCGGTAGGTTTAGCGTCAGGCGCGGGCTCCTCGCTGTTTCTAGCCTGTTGTGGTCACAGCCCTTAGCGGGGACTAGGGTGACCTGACAGCAAGTGTGAAAAATCAGGACAGGGGGTGGGGGGTAATAGGAGCCTATATAAGAAAAAGACCCCAAAATCGGGACATCTGGTCACCCTAGCGGGGGCTGGGCAAAGGGCGGGTCGCGGCGCCCCAGGGGTTGAGCTGCACTGGGCTCCCCGTGCTGGCCAGGGCCGGCCCCTCGTGACCATGGCGGCCCGGCCTTGGGGCAGGCTGCGGGCAAAGCACCAGCGATGCACTGGCCGCCGCTCCCCAGCGTGTGTCGCGCGGGGCCCGCCAGCCCCAGGCCCAGCACGAGCCGCTGCCAGCGGCCCCGCCCCCTGGCGCTGGCCCCGCCCCCCAGGACCCGGGGCGAGGGAACGATGCTCATGACTATTCATGACGCGGAGGCGCGCCTATCCAGCGCGGGTTGGGGCGCAGGCGCAGTGGGCTGGGTACCAGCATGGCGGCTACACTCCTAGCCCGGGGCGGCGGCGCTGCTGCCCGAGGTCGGTAGGTGGGGAGCGGACCCGGGCGTTGGGGGCAGAGCGCGGGAAGGGGCCCGGCGAGCGGGGCAGTGGCGGGCGGGGCAGTGGCGGGCGCTGCTCGCCTCACCTTTCTGCCAGTGGGAGCGGGGCCAGCGGCTGCTTCCCCGGCCCCGGTGGGGGGGGGGTCACTTGTCCCGTCCTGGCTGCCGGGGCTGCCGCGCCGCCCGTTTGCGCCGAGCCCGGAGCCCAGACCGGCTCCTGCACAGCCTGGGCGCTACCAGGGGTTGGGCCCTTGCGAAGGGGCAGGAGCCTGCTGGGGGGGGGGGGCGGGGGCCCGCGGCGGGGGGGGGCACCGGGGGCGGGGGTGGTAGGGCCCCTCACCGTGGTGTCTGAGCGCCTCGCGGCCCTGGGGCCAGGCGGGGGGTGGGGGTGAGACTGATTTGCCCAGAGTTCACCGGAAAGGCTGGAACCTGGGTCTCCAGCGTCCCAGGCCAGGATGGACCTGCTGGACCATTATCCCTCCCTGCTTGGACTTCCTGGCTCTAGGGCATGGTCGCAAGGGATCCCCTTCATCTCCTCCCCTTACTTTCTAGCCCTGACCTTTGGGTGCTTGCGACAGCTGCACACCGTGTACCAGACAGTGGAGTTACCAGAGACCCACCAGATGCTGTGCCAGACGTGCCGGGACTTTGCTGAGAAGGAACTGGTTCCTATTGCTGCTCAGCTCGATAAGGAGCACCGCTTTCCTGCTGAACAGGTGAGTGCAGCTCATTTGCGTAAGGGTTGGGATGACGGTGTGCAGATCTGGGGATATTTGAATCAGAAAAGGTACAGAAAAGGGCAATAAAAATGATTAGGGACATGGAACAGCTTCTCTATGAGGCGAGATTAATAAGACTCGGACTTTTCAGCTTGGAAAAGAGATGACTAAGGAGAGAGTTGATAGAGGTCTGTAAGATCATGACTGGTGTGGAGAAAGTAAATAAGGAAGTGTTATTTACTCTCTCATAACCCAAGAACTAGGGGTCACCAAATGAAATTAATAGGCAGCAGGTTTAAAAACAAACAAAAGGAAGTATTTCCTCACACAATGCACAGTCAACCTGTGGAATTCTTTGGCAGAGGATGTTGGAAAGGCCAAGACTATAACAGGGCTCAAAAAAGAGTTAGATAAGTTCATGGAGGATAGGTCCATCAATGGCTTTTAGCCAGGATGGGCAGGGATAGTGTCCCTAGCCTCTGTTTGCCAGAAGGTGGCAATGGGCGACAAAGGATGGATCACTTGATCCTGGTTCTGTTCGTTCCCTCTGAAACATTTGGCATTGCCCACTGTCAGAAGACAGGATACTAGGCTAGATGGACCTTTGGTCTGACCCGGTATTGCCATTCTTATGACTGTGTGCCCCAGCCTCACCAATATGTGGCCTGACCTCTACATGCCTCCCTACAGATACTCATGGCCCAGCCCTGAGGTCAGCACAAAATATGTTCAGTTTAAATCTGGATCACACAGGTCAGATGCTGCCTCGTGCATCATATTGAGTACGCTGTTCTCCAGCTCCATTGTATCAGGGTGTCTCTGTATGTGACCAGTGCACAAATCGGCATGATAAACCAAAGCTTCCGAGTGATACACAAGGGATTCTGTCAGGAGCATTTGTACTTTCAGACATTATATTGTATTGCCTGTAGGACACACTGTTATTTAGCTTAAAACCATAACATATGCCAGCCATTGTGCATGTTAATTGCCCTTCTGTGTCTTTCCCCTCTGGACTTTGGTACCATTGAGTTTTCTCTTCTCTCCCAGCGACTTTCCCCAGGGCTGCTGTAGTTAATACAGCATGTGATGCATCTGACTTGGAAAATCATTAAATCACTTTAGTAAAGAGGAGACAGGTCACACATTGCAGCAGAATAGTATATAACAATAAAATGTGCATGTATTGAGCGTAGTTCAGCTGATGAAATGAATGAAAACTACCAAGAGAATCATCTTGCCAAAGAGAAGCTGCACATTTTATTTCTTGACCATTAGAAGCAGGAAGGGATTGTTTGAGTTCCAGTGTACCAGTGTCTAGATGTTTCACTTTTGTGAAAAGAGCTCAGCCATCCTTTGCTGCAGTACCAATGCAGCTGGATGGCTTAAAACGCTAACTAGATTGTTAACAATCAAAGATGCTGTCCTAGAAAGCAAAATATTATTGCCTTAGCCCACAGGCTTCAAACTGAGCATACGCAAAATAAAAGGCACACTTTTTCTCCCCAGTTTGAGTCACTGGCCACCTAAAATGTCATACTCGTTTTAATTTATTTTCTTAGAGTATCCTCCCCTGGTTTACTGATCACCACTGAGGTTCTTACAACTGAAAAGACGTTGACTCTAATGTATATTCCCCCCACTGATGCTATTAAAATTTTCCATTTAATTCTGTGGCATTACACATAAAATTAGTCAGTGTCATTTGTTCATGATCACTTTATAGTCTCCCTTTCTGGATTTCATATAATGGCTCAGAGCCACAATATTTGGGGGGCAAATACAGGCAAGGGGAACTTTTTATTTAAAAATTCCAAAACTGTTTCTGTTGGAATAAACAGAAGGATCTGGGTAGATTTCAAGTAGTTTAATTTTTACAATAGCTAAATGTTAAGCCAAATTACCTGGCAATGTCATAAAATACAAGATCAATCCTGTTGTTAAACCATGACAATTGCTCAGCAATGTACAAGATACACACACAATTATTGCCCAAAGAGATTAAAATTGAGAAGGCAGAACATGTTGGGTAACATCTTGAATTGTGTTGGTAATAATTAACTCCTTGTAAAGACAACTTCAGTGAGACAGCTAAAATTGCTTTCCTGTCAACTGAAAGCCCTTTTCTTAAGTACCTTTAGGATGCAGTATAAATAGAGTGAAAGATTTCAAGGTATTGTTGCAAGGACTGGATCTGCTAGATTTCTCCTCAATCACCTCTGTACAGTGTAATGAACAGAGCTTTGCTAGGGAGTGTGAGAATAACCTAACATTATGGTTGGGAGTGATTCTAGGTTAAAACAGAGCTAGTCTTTGCCTCATGTGGCAATGAGCATAGTCAACTTCAGGTAACTTGCCCTTAATCAGCAAGGGCTGCATCAGTTCTGAGCATCTGTAATTCCTATTGAAGTCACTGTGAGCTGTGGCTGCTCAGCAACTGTTGAGCATCTGAATCAAAAGCAGGTGTGTCCTTTGGTAGGCTCACTATAGCACATCTGTGTACCCAGGAGCTGACCCAGTAAAGAACGTGCTGTTGTTACCAGACATGCCAGGATTGGCTGTATGTGCATAGGTGCCCCCGATTCTTTAGAGTGCAGTAGTTGTTTCTGTTGCTTGTGGTCATGTGAACGAACAGGAACACATATGGAGTGTGCATGTGCTCAAGTGCATCCATGAGTGTGGGGCGGTGTGTGTTGCTGTACGTATGTACTTGCGGATTTGCCAGGGCATCACTGATGCAGAGACTCTCTGGCCTGGTCTATACTGCAGTGTTTTGTCGACAAAAGATATGCCACTTTAAAGTACTTTAATTAAACCGCTGTTGCATGTCCACACTATGCTCCTTGTGTTGGCAGAGTGCATCCATACTAGCAGCTCTTGCATCTACAGAGAGCAGTGCACTATGGGTAGCTATCCCACTCTGCAACTGGCCGCACTGTGCTTTGGGAAGGGTTTGCAATGCCTCATGGGGCAGGTGCAGCATCACATGATGCAAGTTTCTCAATCGTGTTGTTCCATGGGCATCCTACCAGATTGCCAGCCATTTTTCAACTGAAGCGTGTGTTGTGGGGAGAGTGTGTCGGCATGCTGTTTCTAAGTTCAGACAGCAACCTGAACAACCAATCCTGGGGGAGAGGGACACCCCCCCCCCCCCCCAGTCCCCCGCCCTGCACAGCAGTCTCCTCCTCCCCCCCCCCCCCCCCGGAGCAGCAACCCGCTCTGCTTGCCTGCGGTTCTGTGATTCCCTCCGAGTTCTCCCACAGCCTCCTCAGCAGCTCTGTGAGCTTTCTGGAGCTTTGACAGGGGAGGGGTGATGCCTGCAGGGCAACCGAGTTCAAAACACTGAGCAGAGTCATCATAGCAGGCATTGTGGGATACCGGGGGAGGTCAGTTATATCAACATAACGAACGCCAGCGTCTACACTGGCTCTTTGTCAGCACAACTTCTGCACAAAAAGTCCTATGTGTCTTGTTGAGGTGGTTTTGTTTTGTCGTCAAAACTGGCACTGCAGTGTGTACACCTCCACTGTTTTGCCATCAAAAGCTGCCTTTTGCTGACAAAACTCTGCAGTATAGACAAGGCCTCTCACTTGTCCATTTCTCCTTGTCTAGGTGAAGAAGATGGGTGCCCTTGGGTTGCTGGCCATAGATGTGCCGGAGGAGTATAAAGGGGCAGGGCTTGATTACCTGGCCTATTCCATTGCTGTGGAGGAGATCAGCAGGGGCTGTGCATCCACGGGTGTCGTCATGAGTGTCAATAACGTAAGACCCTCTCACTGTCTGGGAAACAGGGTGTGTGGAACCAGTCCTAGCAGCCAGGGGTTACTCTGCCAGTTGAGTAGTGTGAATCAGTGCTGATGGGGAATGACATCTGCCTTTGCTGAGCCTGGAGGGTGCTGGACTTTCGGGAGTTATTGGTTCACTTTTTCTTGCAGGGTAAATTAACATGACTTCTGTCTTCTTGAAGTCTCTGTATTTAGGTCCAATACTGAAATTTGGTTCTGAAGAGCAGAAGCATCAGTGGATTGCTCCCTTCACCAGCGGAGACAAAATAGGGTGCTTTGCCCTCAGTGAACCAGGTAACATGAACGTTAATATTCCTGGGCTGATGGCAGAGAACAATTTCCCCTTGTACATTTCCCTCTTTGTAACGTCAGGGAGCAGAGATGTAATGCATATGGGAGCTTGGAGTGAGAGAAGCCTCTGAGAGGATGGCATTTCCACTCCTAGTTTATTGTGGCTCTGTGAAGTTAGAGGTGAGATGGAGCTGCCCCCAGTAAAGCGTGTGCTACTGTTACTAGATGTGCTGTGATTGGCTAGCGTGTGCTGGTGTATGTGTGTGCGGGGGCCAATTCTGGAGCTCCAGGCCCAATCCCCTGGGGTGCAGAAGTAATTGGTTCTGTTGCCTTTGGTTACATGAGTGAACAGGAATACTTCGGTTTTGTTTTGCATGGTGCCTTGCTCAGGAAATGGCAGCGATGCCGGAGCTGCTTCCACAGTGGCACGGCTGGACGGCAATGAATGGGTCCTGAATGGCACCAAAGCCTGGATCACCAATGCCTGGGATGCCTCTGCTGTCGTGGTGTTTGCCACCACAGACAAATCCCAGAAACACAAGGTGAGCTCAGTGGGTTATAGCCTTAAATGTAGCTCTTGGAAGTAGCATGCGGAGCACTTGGTAAAAGGCTCCATAAGCTTACATTGGACTGTGGAGTCAGAACGAAGAGCTGGGAGAAGCCTGTGTCCCCTCAGAAAGTGGGGGGGGGGGGGCTGTGTGGGATGCAGTGCTGCCAGAGGGGGTGTAGATGGATGGCCTATCCCATGGGGCTCTGAGTTCAGCTGAGAGAAGCTGGAGCAGAGCTTACTGCAGGGAGGACTATTTCATCCCCCTTAATCTCCCCTCTGATCCATCACTTCTCCTTTCCCACTCCCTTCCCATGGCCTGTTGGATGGGTGGGTAAGTGAGTTGGGATTAGCCTCATGTGCTTCCCAGGAGAGCTCTGCCCAGCTGCATGATGAGAGGTTGGAGGCAATGTTAAGATCCTGGATCTGATTGCAGGGCATTAGTGCATTCCTGGTTCCTATGCCAACACCTGGACTCTCGCTGGGGAAGAAAGAAGACAAACTAGGAATCCGAGCCTCTTCCACAGCCAATCTGATATTCGAGGACTGCCGGATCCCCAAGGCCAATCTGCTGGGGCAGCAGGGGATGGGCTTCAAAATTGCTATGGTGAGTGCCAGCTGGACTTGTGGGAAGACAGAGTTGGTGCAGGACTACATCCATATAAACTGTTGTCCAGCCAATGGTATGTGCCCCTTCTTGCCAATCAAGGCGCACCACTGCTAGGTCTTATCTTTTTGGAGCCTATCTGGCAAACCTCATGTGTAGGACTTGAGCAGATATGAAGCAGAGGGAGAGCCTCTCCTCCCACCATCTCACCCTACATCTGCTGATCTCCCTGTGAGGAAACACACAAGACCTTTTGGATGCTTCTCTTTAATTCCCTCTATGGAGGACACCTTCTGGAGTTCATCCAGACATAGATTAGATCTTATTTGGGGAGCATGAGTGACTCCTGAGGAACTGAAATCTTGGCACAACGATGAAGATAATGCCCGGGGAACATTATGTGCAGTGTAGCAGGACTTTTGAACTCTTGGGAGAGCTGATTTCGCTCCAAGCAGGGCTGGAATAACAACTAAAGGTTGACTCTTGCAGTCCCATGAGCTAGACTCGTTCCCAGGCTGTCATAAAAGTCAAAAATTTGGAGGGCTGGGAGAGCACCTGCCATCAGCACCATGATTTAGGTAGGTCTCTGCCTCCATCATCCTTCCTTTTGTCCCCAAACTTGTCTCAGCGCAAGGGAATTTTAGGACATGTTATTCTGGAATTAAATTTCAAATACACCAGAGTTCGGTGTGGAGGTTTCTGCTGGGAACCCTTCTTGTAAAGAGGCCTCGTTATGGGGTGGGGTTAGGAATGTTCACTGCCACATCTTTTGTAAATGTTGCAAACTGCTGCTTTTTTGAATGAAATCCTGCCTGGTTGAACAAGGAAGGAGCAACACTGACATTGTTCCAAGAAAATTCAGTTCATTAGAGGTTATAAAGGTGCCAGTACCTTGCTGGGGTGTGGGAGAGAGACATAGCACAGAGTTGAGCCTCCCTGAACAGGCTTCTAACTAGTTACCCACCTCAGTACATGCCAGGGAAGGAAAGCTTGTGTCCCCCTTCAGAGTAAGGGAGTGTGTCTTCGGCCAAGAGTCTCAGAAGTGAGTAGCGATTTGTTTTTTGGGCTGTTACCCATGACACCTTAAAGGAACCTGATGTTCAGAAGTTGGGAACTTTGCACTTTCTGAAAATTGGTTACTCAAAATCACGTGTCCTTTTTGGAAATTGTAGCCACAGTGTTCACTCCAGAGAGAAACAAAAAGTAGAGGGAACAAGTAAATCTAGTTTTGTATCTTTGTCTAATTTCTCTTTACTTCCCCCCCTTTCTTTGCAAAGCAGCAGTTCCTCTGCTAGATTATTTTTGCCTCTGTCATGCTTTCTCCCCTTTTCATTCCCCTCTTCTGATCTCAGTATCTATCTGGGATGTCCTAAATATACTGAGGATTTTTATTTCCATACATTGTGGGATTGTCCAGGGGGTGCCAACATGACTGCAGATTGCTAGCTCATGCAGGTATATTCACCCTTCAGTCCATGGTGTGACTGGAATTACAGATGTATAACTTTTGTGTGTGTCTCAGCAAACCTTGGATTCGGGCAGGATTGGGATTGCCTCGCAGGCTCTTGGAATAGCTCGAGGAGCTCTGGACTGTGCTGTGGATTACGCTGAGAAGAGGTTGGCCTTTGGTTCTCCCATTTCTAAGCTGCAGGCTATTCAGGTATGGGTTAAGCTGAAGATAGTACTGTGGCTGGTGACAGTAATTCTGAGTGTTTCTAGAAGAGTCCTGCTGTGTTAGCACAGTAGCTGGCCTGGGGAAGGTAACGCACCTTGAACGCTGGACACCATGTGTGCAAGCAACTTAGATTTACACCTGCCTCCATGCACACCCACAGGTCTGGCTCAGTGGCTTGGGCACTTCCCCATTACTGTGGGGGGATGCTTTGGGTTTCTGAGAGGTTTGTCAACACAGGTGGTGTGAGAAGCAAATGAGTTCTGCCCTCACATGTTTGTCTATTGCAGTTCAAGCTGGCAGACATGGCACTGGCATTGGAGGGTGCTCGCCTGCTGACCTGGAGAGCAGCCATGTTGAAGGACAATGGGAAACCCTACACAAAGGTACTTCCTGCTTTCTGTAATCTGCTGTTGATCTAGCAGTGAGAGGCATATGCATAGAATCTTAAACAATGGGAACCCTATTGAGTTATCCGGTCCAGCCCCTAGCCACCACGAGTTCTCTTCCAGTGTTTAGTTTAGTTATAACAGAGGGCACTAAACAGTGCATGGCATCCCCCTTGCTGCTTAAGTCTCTTATGCCCAAAGCAGTCAAGGGGAAGGCCAGGTCATAGATTCCTTGCAATCTGACTCAGCAGCTCCCACTTGAAAAGAGAATTTAACACCTGTGAAAGGTGCAGTGTGATAACCTTGGCAACTGAGATCCTCAGTCCACAAAGCAAAGTGAGCATGGGCAGTGGGAGCACTGTCCCCTCCCAATGAATGTGATGGCCGCCTGAGAATGGGTCTTATTGGATCTGGGACCTGCATCCAGTTACCTTCTCCAGAACTCCCAAAAACCAATGTTTATATTAATTTAAGCTGTTCCACAATGTAGCATTTGTGACAGATGCAAGATTTTTTTATAAATGGGTGATTCAGTAGGTGACTTGGAAAGGTTAACAAATCAAGGAGTTGCTCTTGTTACATCTTGGATCACCTAAAATGCTGAGATCGTGGTAGTCTCCAGCTCAATTTCACAAATTGAACATGGTGATCCTGGCTCCCCATCTCAGTCCTGTGCATGGGAGATATACTGAGCTAGCATAGCAGGTCCAGGGTCCCAGGTATGCAGGGCTAGCTTGGCTATGTCAGTACAAGGGTGCTAGACAATCAGGATAAAAACCCTGCCCTGTAACTTAAGGTACACTAATCACAAAGCAGTACTTGTGCTAGCACCAGAGGGTTGTGAGAGTGTACATGGGATTCTGACCTGGTGAGTCAGAGGAGAGCTCACTTAGAATGCTTGCTAGTTAAGCATGGATGTGAGGACCTCCCAAGTAGCACATTTTTGTATGTCTGACTGAGGTGGAGAGTCCATGGCAAAGGAGAGACAGGGAGTGAACCCCTTAGACAGAGCAGGTTAAGGACTCTGGTCATCTATTGTGGGTACCCCACAGCAGCTATTGCAGGGTTTCTGCAAGGACAACTTGTTTAGACTGATGTCAACTAATGTTACTGCCATAGTACCTCAACATCTGTTACTATTACACTGAAAATGCTCTTTAATTATTCACTTTGTTCATTTCATTAACCTGAAATTTAGTCAATTTGAAACAGTTTGATTGTTACTGCTCCTGATCTCCCCTGCCATTTGTGGTTTTTCTCTGCCCTGTTGATATATTTAAAAAATACCTACACAAATAGGAGAAATGGACTTGAGCCAAAGAGCTGTCAAATGAATCAAGTACATAAATAGAGGAAAAATGTTTTATTTTTTTTCTTCTGTCCAGGGTTTCAGTGACAATACAATATAGGGAAAAACTTTAGACATTACTGTTTTTTAAATACAGTAATGTCTAGAACTCACTTCCAACAACAGTAAGGCCAAGAGCTTAGCATGGTTTGAAAAATAACATTAATTAATATGATAATTTGCTACAAACCCTTTTGCTTCAGGGCATAAGCCAGCCCCTGGGATGAGGCAGAACCCTCTCCTTTGGACATAATTGTCTGTGTAATGGGGTTTTACAGCTTCCTCTAGACCATTGCTCTGGTATGGCAACACCCATCTTCCATACAGTGCTACATCGTGAAGCCCAATTTTTACTTAAGTTAAAAATAACTATAAACAAGATGGAAAATTAAGTTGGAGACAGCAGAATGGAGAACAAGACCCAGAGCTATGTTGTGCCTATACTTCGACTAAAGGGGTTTTTAAAATTATCTGTTTATTGATAGCATGAAAAGAACATTGGTTCAGATATTTAGATTGTGTAATGTAAAAAAGCCATTCAAAAGGTGGCAGAGATGGTAATGGGTAGGTTTAATTAGTATGAGTTTTATTTAAAAAAACACTTGCTAAATTTAGAGGAGCTACCATTACGTTACAGAATAGGCCATTTACATCAGAATGCAATATAGCCTTAATCACCCATTAATACACCATTCCATCTTTGAATGCGAGTATAATTGTAGGCTTGTTTGCTTAACTAATCTTTGTTTCTATCATTCAAAGTATCAGCCAGAGTCTGCAACCTACCTACCTGATCACTGACAATTTAATAATTAAACACTTACGAATCAACGTTCCAATAGTAAAAAGAAGCTCATGCATACAGCAATCTGGGCATGGGCAACTTAAGTGTGTCCCATTTCCTGTGTGTACAGGAGCCATGTGCTTTTTCTTTGGCTGTCTGCTGTTGGCTCCAGCCCCTCTCACCAGTTGCATCTTCTAATCAAACAGGTGGAGAAGGAGATGGCTTATCAATGAAAGTCTCATGCTAGAATTTGAGCAATCAGGAGAAGTACATTTAATCACAGAGGGTGTGAATTCTGGCTCACTTGCGTGTACACAAAGTTTTGTTTCAGGTGGTGCATGAATATTGATACTAGCGCCCTGCTATATAAATTCTACAAAATCTTTGTTTTTAAAGGAAGCTGCAATGGCCAAGCTAGCTGCATCAGAGGCTGCAACTGCCATTTCCCATCAGGTAACCATCTATCTAAGAATCTGTCTCTTCTTCACCACATGAGGGGAGCCTGGGGGATAAGCTTGTCCAGCCTTCTCTCTGGATTACAAGAAGTAGGCTTGACCAGATGTTACTTGTATTATTATAACTGATGGATAATAGTTATGTTTATTATCTAAATGTCAGTTGTGGAAAGTTAGACAATGATTTAATGACAGATTATAAAACTTTATACCACCAATTGTCAACATGTGTCAAAATATAGTAAGTAAATATCCTTACATCAAACTTGGTTCTCAAGCAGCATTTTTATTTTATCATTTAAGTTTCAGTTATCAATGAAAATATTTTTAAGCAGTTGGTGTGTATGATATGCACATCTACCCATGTAAAAACCTAATTCTTCCAAGCCTAAAATTGTCTATATATAGAGCTCAGCTTTCTTGCTGAGGAACTAAGTTTTGTATATACACCATGTACTGCTGTCAAGAATTCCTTTCTGGCCTTGGTGCTTACATCTGTTTAAAGGCTGTGGGCTATTTTGTCCCCTGTGTAAAGTCCCTTCAGCTGCTAGGCCTAGAACTGTATGGCAGCAGGGCAGGCTTGAAGCCCAAGCAGAGTTATTCAGTGCAATAGTGAAATATGCTACTGCTTACCCAAACAACACTTCAGTTTCTGTGCCTTTCCCTGTAGCTGATAACAGCATCAGTCACTGGCACCTAATGAAAGGAGGGAGGGCAAATAACTCAAGGCTGTATCCTTGGTACAACACAGTTTGCCTCAATCTTGCATCATGCTCACTGCAGGGTATGCTGGATGACTAATCAACACATTTTTCTACAGAGAAGGTGTCCACCAGGTGCCAGCATGACTGATACACCCTATGACCTCTCTCCTCCCTGTGGTTGCTACTAGATTAGGGCCACTCACATGAGGATTGCAGCATGAGGGCAGTGTCCATGGTTCAGCGAGTCGCTGACATAAGACTCACTGCTTTTGTTTCAGGCCATCCAGATCCTGGGAGGAATGGGCTATGTAACAGAAATGCCAGCGGAACGCCACTACCGGGATGCTCGAATCACAGAAATCTATGAGGGGACAAGTGAGATCCAGAGACTAGTGATAGCAGGGCAGCTGCTGAAGGAATATCGTGGGTGAAGAAGAGCAAGCTCAACTTAAGTGCCTTATAACCACTGCAGAAGTGCTTCTAGCCTTTGTCCTGGATGAAATGAGGTGGAAATTCCCTCATAGCCATACTCACCACCCCTCTTTAATTGGGTTGGTCAAGCCCCTTTCTCAAATTGCCTTTGTAAGGGTTTAGGGCCAAACAGTCAAAGGGAGAAAGCAGAAAGGGGGCAGCAGCATCTGAGTGTGGCCCAATTTATTTTAAGCCAGTATAGTTTCAACTCTGTTCTCTTACAGACACAATCCATGGAATCAGTCTTCAGCCCTACTGGCTGCTGTCTAAGATTTAGTTCCCTTCACAAGGTGCTTGGTAACTAATGAAGTTATATGAAATGATGGGGATAAGTAATAGTTATATTTTTCTTGTGGATGTCAAAGGCCTTACGAAGGTATAATGCAGAGGCAGGACACTCAAAGTATTATTTTAGTACCTGAATGTGGGCTATATTTTCTAAAATTGTGTTGGTGAATGGATGATCTGTTTGCACTACCTCTTCAGGTTTGGTCACTAATGAATTCCGAGTGTTGGACCTTGCTGGCTGTGAACTCTCATTTGATGGATTTTCCTTTAATTACTGCAGCAAAGGGGGTTAGTACCTGGCTTGTTCTCACAGGATGAAAGCAAGGTGAGTTAAAGCACTTGCAGTCTGGGTGGCTTTTTTTTTTTTTTTAAACAGCACACTTTCAGTATCTACTCAAGAGTGTTGCCCATATGCTTTTTCACCACGAAGACATTAACACGCAGAGATGGAACAGTTAACTGCCCAGTTTCCTGGCTTCTCAACCTCAATGAGCCATTGCTTGACAGTAACTTCTTCCCCAAAGTAAATCTATCAGACCTTATATTTCATTCATTTTAGGATATTAGTGAAAACAGCAGCTCTTTACCCTAAAGATTTTTAAACTGCACACACTTGAACCACCCACCCACCCTGAAAAGGAATGCAGCATCTGGACTAAAGCTGTTGGTCCTAATTACTAACCTCAAGGAATAATTCTTTTTGAGGGAGGGGCTAAGTTAGAGAGCAGAGGGTGGTATTTTTGCATTAATTACACACTGATCTGCCCACCATCCATACACTTAAAGGGCACTGTATGAAAACCTTGTTACCAGTTACAAGCCTGAGGGGAAGATGGTTTCACAGCAGCTGGTCTTAAACAGACGTACTTGAAGACTAACTCAAACTGGGTCTACTCTCCTTCCCTTTTGAAGGAAAGTTCACTTTTAAGAAAGAGTTACACATTAGGTAGGCATCATTGCTTTGTAGACAGCATTACTGCACATGTAGCGCAAGATGGGAGAAGTGCCTTGGTGGAGCAGACAGCTACAACTGAGCTTTTTCATTTGATCCTGGACTTAAGAGTCCTGTACCATGGTATAAAGGTGGGGGTAATAATCAATTTTGCTGCAGATCATAATTCATGCCCATTTATGGAGAGGAAGGGTAGTATTACCGATCAGAGCTTTTTTTTCCAACATCCCTGTTAGCACAGGTTCATGAACTATGCTGCATGAAGTAGCAACAAACAGTAGGGGACGGGAGCCTGCATGTTAAATTACATTATTTTTGTATTAAAAATCAAATCCCAACTCTACTGGAAATTGAGTGGGCCAGGGCCATCACACCAGGTTGAACCTGAGCTGCAGCTGGTATGAAGAAGATTGTTTAAAAATACTATTAGATGGGTAAAAGATGTTGGGAGCCAGTAAGTCTATGGGAGATATTGTTTTTTAAACAGGTGTGTGGGGGGGAAAAGCAATCAGACTATCTATATGCACTTCGGAAAGGAGCAGCACAAGGCACAGCATGATACCCTGGTCACTACACAAAAGTAAAAATTGCTATTAAGGACCAGAATTCCACAAGCATGTTTCTAGAGAAGTGTAATGCTGTTTCACTTTGGGGATGAGAGAAAGGTTTGAGTGTGTGTTCCCTCTCCTAGAAGATAGAGCAAGATTCTGATCTTGATTACCCCAGTATGAATGCAGAGTAACTCTGTTGAAGTCAGTGGAGTTACTCCAGTCTTTCCTTAGAACATGCCCCTAAGATTTTTCTTGCTCTTGCATGTCCTAGTGCAGATTGGTCACAGTGGCCATAAACTATGAGGATGTTATTTTCCTGAAGCCCACTAGGGGGCAACTGAACACTTGGGAAAATATCTTGTGGCTTTTGAAAGCTAGTGCCAAAAAGGAAGTATAGGGAGGCTAACCTGGCAGGAAATGGAACATACCTGATATTTCTGGTTAAAAACCCCAGAGAAATGTAAATTCTACTTAATCAAGTAAGTCGAACGAAGGCTGCATGTTCGCTCCACGCAGAAGTAGCATCTGGAAGTTCAAAGCCTGTTGAAGGGAAACAGTTTGCTTTAGTAACATGCAGAAATCAAATCACTCATTTGTGTTAGGACTTATGGTAGTTTTAGCTTTTCCAACTCTGTCAGACTGTTACTATGTGCAACTGTCCAATTTCTTTGAATTGGGAAGTAGAAAACATTTCTACAACATTTGGGACCCACAGTTCTGGCTGGACCATTTCCACAGGTCTGTTTGCCTTGCTGTTAAAACAAAGCAGCTCTGGTAGAAGTCCCTTCTTACAGTTTTAAGACTGAATTAAGAGTCTTCTGTTTTCTCCTAGTTATAGCCCTGTGTACTACTGTAAATTATTTCTCTTCATCCTTGCCTCTTGGCAACTTCCAAATGGTTACAGACTCATGTCCCACCTTGGTTACTGGAAGCTATATATATTCACTTCTTACAAGGGGCAGTCAACTTAAACAGTTACTATCCAAAAGTGACTTTTCCTAAATTACTGTAACTGAAAGTTAAGAGGCAAGTTTCTCTATTTTTTCTCCCAAGTTGTTGGCAGGCTCTTCCCCCTTCCTCCCATTTTAAAACTTTGTCCACTTGACATCAGTGTGTGTGAAGTCAGTTTGAATCTGGTGGAGTGGACATTTCACACAGCAACAGGGGGGAAATATTTAACATATGATAGGAAAGCATGTCTTTAAAAGACACAAAAAAACTGTCAGGGGGCTTCAAGGGCAGGTGTAGCATCTGAAACTGCTAATTACTTTTTATTTTTTCATGAGTCTCCCCCTTCTCTCATACGGGGAGGCCAGAGAAGTTTTTATGCAACTTCTAATACTGAAGTGCCTAGAACATAACAAGCTATTCTAGGGCTATCCGTGAGAAGGATTTATCATCTTCCCTAATACTTGCTAATGACTTGTTTTTAACCATATCCTCTCAAATGTGTCTAATTTGCTATCCAGTCTCCTCCCACAGATTCTTCTTCAGTATTCCCAAGTTCCATTTCTGATTTCCTTATCAGGTTATTTTCCTCCATGGGCTTTAAATTTGCACTTTTCCAAATTAATTGGTTTTAGTTCTTGTCTGTATTTCTAACTACTTCTTCAAGCTCCTCAGTATTATTCAGTTCTCATTTGCAATTCCTCACCATTTAGTATCATCTGTGAATTTTAACAGGAAGCTATTTCCACCAACCCCTTTCAGATCAGTCATAATGATTTTAATAAATTCAGATCCTCCCGGTTCCCTTCTAGCTCGTTATGGTCACTTCATAAACATTCATTTTTTAAAAATTGCTGTTGAAGGCCAAAGTTCCTTAGATACTAGCAACATATATTCCATACATCCAAGTCACACCAGGTAGAGTGCCTGCCACTCAGTTATAACAAGCAAGCTAATACTCCACTTCTACTCTTACAACCAAAGTTTCTTGCCCCATAATAGGTGAAAGCCAGCAGGGAAGTCTGGGATCTACTGCTTATGAGAGTTGTTAATACCACTTGAGGGCACAATGCCATGTGCCACTAGTTGTTGGTGGTTAGATCCCTGCTCAAGCAAACCTCTGACCGTTGACACTCCTGGTCTCTTCGCTTCTCTTTACCAAAAGCGTTGTTAGCACAGCTCCAACTGTATTAGTAGTCCACAGATTCTCTCGTTCCAGCAGTGGTGGGTATTGGTGCAGAGATGGAATTAATTATGTTCTTCAACTGTTGGACAGATGCAAAGGGTCTGTGTTGATTGGGAAGAAAGTCTTGTCCATCAGGTGCTCATTATGCGACATTGGGCAAGTCACTTCATCACTCTGGTCCTCAGCTCTTCATCTATAAAACAGGAATAATATACCTCACAGGAATGTGGCAAGGCTTCCTTAGTGTAGAAAGAGCTTTGAGATCCTCAGATGGAAAACTCTATAGCAGTGGGACGTATTTCAGCTCTCCCCGCAGCGTACAGCACCACTAAGGAGATTTGGATGACTCAGCTGTAGACTGTGCAGAAGTGCTTTTGCAGAAAGTTGCTTCTTTCCTTCTCTGAGGGCTCTGAATAGTAATTACTCTTCCTTCCTGTAGTTTCTCACTGGTTATGTACCATGAGTTTCGGTTCTGTTCTATCTACATGCATATCTGCTACAGGAGAGGTTTTAATACTATCCGGAAGCAGAAGTTATTCAGCATCACATACCTTCATCAACCCCACATGCCAGAGTCTAGCTACTTTTATCAGTGTCAGAAGGCAATGTATGAGAGGTGGCAGAAGTGTGGCCCAGGCATGCTGCTGTTTGGTAAGGAGACGTTTGAGGAGGCTGGCACCCTCTTTTGAACCCACTTCACAGTACAAATGTTGTTCTCAAGCTGCTCCTCCTGCTGACTTTCCAGTTTATGCCTTTTTTTTTAAACCTACAGCTTTCCTGGAAGTTGCAGCTCACCCTCTCTCACATGGCCTGGACACTGAGAGCCTTACCTCTGTCCTCTCCAGGATAGATTAATGCCACAATTCTTTGAGACTTTTCTAAAACATGAGCTGGAGCTGAACACAGCAGTTCACCTCAGAGGGACAAGTTGCTATGAACATGCTATGCTGGTGCTCTGCATGCAGTGCAGAGGGTTGCTTACAATCTTTAAAGCCCTGAATGGCCTAGAACCTAGTTACTTGAGTGAGAAAGGCACCTTCACCTATAACTTGTCAGGACATTTAAAATCTTGTGTGTTGCTCTTAGAGGAGACTAATGGCTTGTCTTTACTGCAAACGGTAGCTTGAGTTAGTACAACTCGAGTTGATCTGGCCTGACTGACAGCAACCACACTTAGAAACAACACTGGAATTACACCAGCAGTACCAAAACTATGGGTTGCAATCCCAAGTGGGTCTCTCCATCAGTGGATAGAGGCGCAACAATCCCAAATGTGTGGAAGATGCCATTTTACAAAATGGTATCCTCCACACAGCAGGTCCTCACGTTAGGGGTGTGACATGTCACACTGTGCAGAGGATACCATTTTAAAATGACAACTTCCATGCTGTGTGGGGTCATAGGAAGCAGGATATCTGAAAATGGGTTCATGGCAGGGAAAGTTACACACAATGATTAGCGGAACAACTGGCTTAGCTGCTGTGGAGTAGTTGTATTCCCACTACACTATTAGCTCAAACATCACCACCACTTGAGCTTTAACACACC